ATTTGTAAAGTCACAGCTAAAGGATTTTAATAGGTTCAAGTCAATATATTATCCCTATTTATTTTAGAAGAAGAAGTAGGCCTAGCAATTTCTTTCATATCGCAATATTATTTTATATTAAACGATTGCAGGCCAATATGCCAAGTTGAATTACACTGTATTGAATAGTTGATCACAGATTCACAGAAGGTCCGATGAACTCGATTTATTTCCTTCATTGTTCATGGCATTCACGTCCTTAATCCTTTTGTACACCATGAAATATCATCAATTTATCACTCAAGACATATTTTACGGCGATCGGACTAACCACACATAAGCTATATAACTTTATATGTTTATCACTATTCGCCAAAGACCGAGGTGAAATTAATCGATGTATGACAATAGCCAAATTCCCCGATTAAATTCGTTTCTCATCCAATGATAATTAGACCAAAGAGCAACCTCGTCTTTATGATATTTCAAAGTATCATGAGTTTTGCTTGGATACATAAAAAGCTAGAGCACTTTTAGTGGCTCTATTTCGTATTCCGCCATATTAACTCCTATAAAATTTCCTCTGGTTTGGTTGCTTTCAACATGGCGGCCACACCGGAAGTCGGCTGACATTCTCGCACACTTTTTACCCACGAGTGAAGCTTCTGCCCTTACCTCTTCTGTGACCTTACACCAACACAGAAAAAGTCATGATTATTATTAGATAACATTGATATCGAAGGAACTAGATTCTGTTCCGATATATCACATACTCGAACCGACCAGACCGCGTTGCTCAGTTGGCAAAGCATTGGGCTAGTACTGCAAAGATCATAGGTTCGATTCCCACCGTGGTCAGGCATATTTTTCAAGCTTGCCCGGTGTGGATATACACTCAGAGTAACATCGCAAGCATCATATTCACCTGAGTACATTACACCAACACAGAAAAAGTCATGATTATTATTAGATTGTCAGGCATATTTTTCAAGCTTGCCCGGTGTGGATAATGGTATACACTCAGAGTAACATCACGAGCTGATATCAAACTATTATATGTTTTATCGCCATGCAAACATACAAAGAACTAATTATAATGGTGTTTGTGTTTGAATCATGCGTTCTATTGGTTAATTTAAGTTATGTGCCTTTATGAGTTTATGATCATTTTCCAAGTTTGTTTATGCCAAATTCCTTACAAAAGAATTAAAAACTCTTGAACTCAAAACAAACAAGACTAACAAGACTAACTTTTCAAGCTGTTAATTAGCGTTGTATAATGTGATATAACAAAGCCAGGAAAACTTTGCCAGTGGAATGTTCGCTAAGTTAAAACTACAATTGTTTCGAACATTTCTATGTAAATTATTAATAAGTATAATACCATGGTTTCTTGTGAAATTTGGATTAACATGCACTAGTGAGTTTTTCAAAGACCTCAAATAGCACTCGTACTTCGGACTCGTGCTATTTTGAAGTCCTTGAAAAACCCGCTCGTGCATGTTATATCCACATTGCACTCGAAACCATGCTATTACCTATACTAACCAAAGTAGGATCGATGGATAGTTGTAATGAGCACAAAAAATGCAAAAATTCTTTCAAATCCAATAAAAATGTGTTGTGTTGAAAATATTCTTGGAACTGTTTCTGTTGAGGTGTCGATATTGCGTTGTGAATGCAGACTTGCGGTGGCGTAGTGACGTTACAAGTCTTTATTATTGGGAAGCAAGATTTTTGCCGATATCCGCATGATCGTTGCAACTGCATGATCGTTGCATGATCGTTGCAACTGCAACATATTGCCAAGACTGAATTTATGATTATTGGATCTCGTCAAAGACTTTCAACCTTTGATAATCAGAATGTGGAAGTATGTGTTAACAATAAACAGATTAATAGAGTGCTGAAGTCTAAGTCATTAGGTTTAACAATTGATGAGAACTTGACTTGGAAATATCATGTTGATAATATCGCCAAAAAAGTCTCTTCGGGTATCGGTGCTCTCAAACGAATGAGAGATTTTATTACCACAGAAACTGCAATTCGAGTTTACCAAAGTTTGGTGGAGCCCTATTTTTCCTATTGTGCCCCTGTTTGGGATGGCCTAGGTAAAAAGCAAAGCAAAAAATTACAAAAATTACAGAATAGGGCCGCCCGTGTTATTACCCGTTCATCTTATGATATTTCATCAAGTTCTCTTCTTGAAGAACTTAATTGGGAATCATTGTCCACTAAGCGATTAAAGCAAAAGGCAATCTTCATGTTTAATACTATTAATAAACATACACCATTCTATTTACAAGAGATGTTTTCTCCCAGTGAGAGTGTTTATAACCTAAGAGATTCTTATGGTAAACTTTATGTCCCAAAACCACGCACAGATTATTTGAAACGCTCCTTCAGTTACAGTGGAGCCTCTTTATGGAATGGCCTGCCAGAATCTCTTAGATCAGTAACCTCTCTCGCTGCATTTAAGACAGGTTTAGAAGCCTTCTTAATAAATAATCAATCTGACTCCCACACGGCAATCAGGTAGAACAGTATCTATATTTCTTTTTGCTCCTTTTAAAATATTTTAATATTTTTGTAAATAACTATACTGATGATTTTCCGTGTTTAAATAAAGTTGATGTATGTATGTATGTATGTAACTTCGAGAGGAAAATGGGGGAAAAGTTCGCGTATAATGGATGCCACAAAGGCACAATTCACAATTTATATACGTTACTAGAAAATACATGCATGCAGAAACCCTCGCCTTGCTGACAAAACCATTGTATTTTCCGAACATGAAGTATCTAAGTTGTCATGGTAACACGATAATTTTTTAAGAATGTTCTTACAAATGAAAAATCGCTTATAAATATCACTTTTAATCACAAAATTATTAATTTCCCAACATATTTATATGTTAGGTATGTTATTACACGTAATATAAGCCTCGATTTAAGGTAAATTAGTGTTCATTAATATGAAACTAAACTGCCTTTTAAAATGGGTTTATCGATAAACTTTGAGTTTGCAATAAAATGATTTAAAATTCTCGCTTGCAAATATGTTTGCTTTCTTATTTATTTAAAAAATTCAATATCATAAAAAAGGGAATCAATGTTAAAGATACAATGAAATTATATGCTGTCTTGTTTAGTTGTTTCATATATGCAAAGGCCGTCGGGTTTTAAATCCCATTATAAAATCAATATTTAAAACAAACTTACCTTCGTTAACGTCGGCTCTCTTCTTTTAGCCGATTCTTTCGCAGTTCCTTTCTCAGAGAGCTTACAAAAGAGCTTACGTTCCTTTCTCAGAGAGCTTTACAAAATCTTGCAAAAATGCGAGCAGAAATGAAATATATTTGCAAGAAATTTATCAATCATCAAATCAACGAAAGAAATGTTTGCTATTTCGCTGTCGTCATGCAGTCGTTATAAACCTTATAATGCAAACTTTAAATTGGACCAATCAGTGTCCGCTATTCGTGACAGTCCGCCAAGTTTTTGAGATCAGTGAGGATGACCACCCACCCAACACCGTTGGTGACCCACGCCCGCGATATTTGATAAACTTTAGACTCCGCTAATGTTTTCGTTTCCCCGGGTGTAAATAGCCGGGGGGAATTAGTACCCTCGCACGGCCCTTCGCGCCGTCGGCTCGGGGATAACAGATCCATGCATTTACTTATTGAGGAGTATTTTTTCGTTCAGTCTCAGTTTTATAAACGATTATATAATTACTTCGATAATTATTATATGGTTGAAATAACTGACCATGCTTTTATTTAGGCCTACTCGCCCAGAGATAATGCGTAAAAGCTGCAACTTATAAGTAATGCGAATTTGAGCGATATAGGGCGAATTTTATGGAATGCATGCAACTTAAGGTGTTCCAATTAAGGTAATTTCAGAAATATAAAACTATCATCCAATATGAGTCCAGTGAAATTACTACCATTTGTACCCATGCCAAATTAGCCAAACTTCCGAGTTTCTACACACATATGCAATGTATGAAGCAAAATATACTAATTGGAACACATATGTACATTTGATATAAAAATAATTCGTCATTCATCCATTTTTTACTTCGAAGCCTTTGGGTATACTCTATTTTAAATTTTCAAGAGTGTACAGTACATAATTGCAATACAACGACATAATAAATTACACATTTCTTACCAATTTGTGTTGGGATACGATTGGAAATCAAATGACCTCAAATATTATTTGCAAATCAAAGCAATACAATAATCATACTAAAAGAAATAATTTTATAAAACAGTAATTGTTGGTCACCAATGTCGTTTTCGAGTTAAATTATACTTTAGATTCAAAATATTTGCCACATTGAAAAGTACTGTTCGGACAATTTTTTTCCCAATCACTTAAATTTCGAAGGTGATCTTTAAATTAATTAAACATGCCTTTTGAATTTCACATGGATGCCACTTTTAAGAGTTGTCGTCCCCATACAGAAAACACTGTTTCGTGAAATTCCCAAACAATTCCTATTAAGCAAATAAAGTTATTCAGTCTCCATAAAAACAAGAGTTTTAGTGCTAAATAATCTTGCATGTGAAAAGTAACTGGAGAAGATAGGGCATCAAACTTTGTTTTAAAAATTAGATGAATTTTTTTTAAATTTCCCTTCGTTTCCGGTCAGAAAATACTCCCACTAGGTCAAATTTCAAGACGGACTATAACTCCGATAAAACAGAAAATAGAAACGTTCTGAAAGAAGCCTGATTAATATTGACTAAAGTCTAGTTTATCTCAGCAAAATATGAGCTGATTTGATTTTTCCTTTCCTAAACCGGTTGGGGGATTTTGGTGAGAGGTTCTTTTATATATGTTTAACAGGGGGAAAAGGGGATTCACGTAAAATATCCAGGAAAAGTTTATTTTTCACCATTTGTGGAATATTCCAACATCGAGTACTGGTTTTATTGAACGTCAAGACTGATTTGCATTTACCTATGCCAATAAATTGAGGATTGTCCGTTTCGTATCGTGAAATTTAAAATGACAAAAAGTGAACGTACCGAAGAGCAACGAGGCTGGCGCTTAAACACACAAATTGATTTTGAGTTTTTAGTCGTTGATTTAACTCGCAAGAACTGGAAAAAGTCAATATTCTTAATGTCATCTAAATTTTAATCCATTTGTTTGTTCGTTTGTTTATTTGTTTATTTTTTTTTCAAATTAACTTTTTTACAATTAACCATAACTGAAGGTAATCCCTACAGCGTTTATTACTTTATTTACAAGGTCCATGAGATTTTTCTCGAGATTTATTATAACCAGATTATACTTCCAAGTCTCCGAAGAAACCGATTTTTAAAATGTTCCTGAAAAACGAATAGGGTGTTCAAAAGGACCCTTGTCAGCGGTAGTTGCCATGGAAAATAGGCCTCAGTGGCATAATATTGCGTCAACTGATAACATCCAAATCGGCCATGTTTATGGGACCATTTTTTGTGCCGAGCACTTCTTCAATAATATAACTTGAGCTCACTCATTTTATCCTGCATGCATGATGCCCAATGCTCAGTTTTAAAAGTTTTTATTTACAGTTCACAAGTATATTTATTTATAGATGCAAGAGATGACGCTCAATTGGAGAAACGTTACTCAACTGGTATATAACTTATCATTCATTTTTATAGATAATCAATCTTCATCTATTGTTTATACGTACCTATGCATGCTGTAGTATACATTATACTGCAAAATCAGGCTTGATGATAAATATATATATGTATATATAGAGAGAGAGTTTTTCGTTCACTTCGTTCAATAAGGTTCTTTTCCTTGCGAAGCAAGCGTTTGATGCTTACCCACTCTCCCTAATTGTTTTAGCCTTGCTTAAATCGCCGGTTTGTCAAATGAGTTTTATGTTCCTTTCGTGAGCGCTAAATTATTTGAGTTTCTTCCATCCTGGTCACGCCATCAATAATGCCGTAAAAGACGAGTACCAGTTTCGTTTTGGTTAGATATATGTTGATGAAATATTACAAAACTTTATGTTTAGTAAGTTAAAATATAAACTATTAATATAAGCTTCTAAATGTGCGCCAAAAGACAGTCATGTGACTGAAGCACAGCTAATCCAAACTAAATGCCTAGTAAATATCAATGTTCTAATGTATGGTTCATTTTAATATTATTCAACAGTATTCAATATCTACAATTTGAAATATTTCTTTTCACAGTGTGTATTAATAACTGCCGTTCTGCCTGCCGAACAATTGGCACATTTGAAGCATTCTGTAATCAAATTTGCCCGAATGTTGTAAGTACTAAAAATGTATATAAGTCATGTTTTATAAGTACTAGATAAAACATGAGCGGCCGATCTGTATCTGCATGATATACAAACTCGAGCCGAATTATAAACGACCCATCTTATGAGTTCATTGGCGAAGTAAAATTAAAAATAAACATTGTCTAAGCCGAGAAAATCAAAGCTGAAGTTTATGTAAATCAGGAGAAATCTTTATCCGATTTACAAACATTGATTAATTAAACATTCATTTCTTTTGTATTTTCCTGGTGAATTATTAATGAATTTTTTAAGCTGAATTAAAAACGACAGTTAAATTGTGAGTCTGCTTTTCTCGATTGTGCCACTAAAACTGGCACATTATGCTACTAGCAGTTCTCGTTTTCTGTCTAAATTATGCTCGAATTATGCGACTGGTTTAATTACAAAAATTATCCCGGTTTTTGTTAAATTAGCTATTTACGCCAGAAACGTCAAAAGACCTGTTATGCAAGCAGTGCTTTTCCATAAAAAGTGCCAAAAATATGCTCGCGTACCCAAATCATGCCAAAAAATGTGCTAGCAGAATCGAGAAAAGCCTATTTGTGACCACAAAAATAGCGCCAATGCAATTTTGACAACGTGTTTCTACAGCAGGTCATGTGATTGTCGGACATTTTACGATGTTGAACAGAAAGCATATGCAGCTTGTGTCAGAAATCTTACTATAGATAAGTTCGGTCAGTAAAACCTCGCACGATTGCTTGTTTCTGCATAACTTTGGCATATTAAATGTGTTTCCTCCCAGTAATTCTGTTGGTTATAGCATAGATTATAGATCATACCAGATGTCTCACTGTGTATCTATCCCTATGATTTTCGTGTCCGCGATTTTCGCGAGGCTATCACGCCAGATGACGCGTGCGACACTTACTGCCAAAATGGCGCTTACTGCCAAAATGCGTGATTGCTCACGTTTCATGGCGTGGATTACACTTACTGCCAAAATGGCGGCCAACGCGTGCCAATAAAAAATCGCGGACACATGCAATTTTGGCTGAGTGAGACATCTGGTATAATCTATCATCTGTGGTTATAGTTCCACATAGGCTTTTGCTATGGCTGTATGGCAACACACGTACGCAACTCATTCTAAATTAATCCATTCGTTCACGTTGTCAGGAAAAAGCTCACACTAGACAAAATTTAAAAGAATTTTGTCGTGTGATTTTCCTCTGAAAAAGTGGTAATCTTGGGTTTTTTTAGTTTACCATTACAGAATATTTTTCCTCAGTTCAAGGTACCTTGGTGAACTCGTTTTCGAGTTATATTCATTGCGTTACTTCTCGATCAGCCACGCTGTTTTCTGGTCCATAATTTGTCAAACACGTACACAATTTTAGGCGCAGGTTTTGGAAAAACCCGCACATTCAAGGGAATCAAAGTTTGAAATTGAAGCTATGGCCTATAGAAATGCAAATATTTTTGTGCTTTTTATACTAACTAAAGTGGTAACTAACTTACGAACAAGAAAAAAGAAAGAACTGTGACGGATTATAATTTTTCCGTCATTTGGCCAAAGATATGTTGGGCATATAAAACCTGCTTGCAGTCTTCTATCTCGACTTCTGTGTTTTCATATTGGTGTTCAACTCAAGAAAGTGAGAAATAGATTCTCTGTTTAAAACTGTCTAATTTGTCAATGTCAAAGGCAAATCTCAAGCCAATATATGAATTCCGAGAATATGTTGCACAGTGCACACTGCCAGAAAGATTCTGAGTTTGAACTTGTTTGCTGACTATAAATGTCATACATACACACGACTAACAGTTCATACATTAATATGGTATTATAAGAAGGTATTTTTTTATGAAAATAGAACATAGAAAGATTAGAAATTCGCTTGATTTGTTGTCGATGTTTTACTTTGGCTTTGAGAACTATATTTATATTGTCGACTGTTGTTATACACGAAATTTTTACACGAAAACGAACAACGCAAACTGCGAGATTAGACACCAGGGGGCGGAATATGATTGGTTGAAATTTTCTTTTGCGATTACGCCGAAAATTGCATAAATTACATTGCTATGTATGATAATTCATAGTTGCTCTGCGTCCGCCATCTTGGACTTGACATTTTTTGAATAATTTTAAATTAGTTATGCAAAATACTTCTTACCATAGGCGTACCGGGCGGGGGGGCGGCAGCCCCCCCAGTTTTTTGAGCAGTCGGGCAATATTCGATCAACAGTCGGGCAATTTTGGGTTGCAATAAAAAAAAATGTGACAAATTCTGTAAATTTTGTCTAAAATTAAGTAAATTTTTGGCAAATTTTGTGATTTTTGGAAAATTTAGTGTATGTTCCGAAAAATATTGGTTGTCCGGAAAATTTTTTTGACCCCTAAAATGGTACACTGACCGAAATTTTTTTGGCGAGGGGGGGGGGGAGGTCGCCAAAAAAATTTTTCCGGAAAAAAATTTTTGGTACTAGTCGGGCAAAATCCAGAAAAGTCGGGCAATTTTCTTTCCGCCCCCCTAATTTTTTCCTTCCGGTACGCCCATGCTTCTTACGCAACTGTACGGCATTAGTGTTGATTGATCGCAGACTGTTTCTTCTCCGCTCCAGGAAGGGTGGGCTGAGATCAGTCCGCTATCGCAGACTAACTAACAATGATCGCATGAGCGGCTTTTAGGTCGAACGGAGCATTGAAGTTGAAAAACTATATAATGTGATACTTAACATAAACGTTGCTGGGTTGAATCCGTGAAGGAAACTTTCCTTTGTAAATGTTTGCCTGTCCAAAATAAACAACTTAACAAGGCGAAAAAACGTCAAAACACAAAAATCGCAAAAAAAATAAGAAACCTGTGTTAGAGAAATAAGATTACAACCCACTGATGTCATGTAAATTTCATTTTTTAAATTAAACTCCTAAGCTGCATGCAGAATGTCTTCGGGCTACATGCGCATGTCATATGTCTCCATCAAATCAATAACACTTGAAGTTCTCTCGAGATTTCTTTCACAATATAAAGAAACCTTACTTCCATGGTTGTCTTGATTTAATTTACACGGAATAAACTATATATTGACTTTAAATATCTGAATAAAATACTGTTTTCACATCTGTCTGGACAATCTAAACACAATTGCTACGTTGTCATGTTTTCACATTTTCCACACACACAAAAAACGAGGGAAAACCGATCGTTTTCATAGTATACTCGTTCATTGCTTTGGCAGTGGGCACAAAATTTAAAAATACACACAAAATCGTTATAAATTGAAATAAACAACAAGGAAAAAGCTGTCAAAGCCGACACAATAGCGTCCTCAATTTGGCTTTTCCAAAAAGTATAATCAGTAACAATCCAGCGTTCGCTTGTTTTCCTGCGTTTACCCCCGTTTCTCAGGATACGAGGTTCCGATTGGGAATGATGGAAACTCAGCCAAACATACTTAATCGTTATGCTCCAGCAATCTCAAATATGTATAAATTGTCTGCATTTGGATAAATTTAACATACTCTTGTGCCCAAATTTGTTGTGAGATATAATTTCTGACAAGGTTTCGCTGCGCATTCTACCGACTTAGGGACGCACCATTAGATATTTGAGAGGGGTGGTTGCAGCTTTTTTCCTTGCAGGATTTTTTTGGGCGCACATGTTGTGCACGCTTTTTTTTCGTTTAATATTCAAACGCTTGCAAGAATTTTTTATTGTAGTTTTTAATAGGGGCAGGTTACAATATCTTTGAAAGAAAATTTGATAGTGTACATGTAAACAGGCCATTAATTCGACAGTGGCTGCTCCGTTTCCGGCCAGTGGCGTAGCCAGACCTTCGTTTTTGGGTGGACGAAGCACACGCCGAAGGCGTGAGAAATCTAGAAAACAAGAGTACCTGAAATGCAAATTTCAAGCATTTTAAGGGTGAAATCTAGCAGAATTCCGAAGACTAAAAATTACATCGAAGACATGAATTTTTCCAGACATTTCTACTCGGAATTAAGTAAATTGGAAAAGTCACCTTGAAAAAAGGAGGAGGGGTCAGTGTCACCTTGTTTCCCATTTATGATGCTGGGGGGAGCATGTGATTTTGATCAGAAATGTTGCATTTAAATCATTCTAGGTTCCATGAGACACCATTTCCGCATTCTCAAAATTGCGTTGCTTTTTATATGATACAGAATAAGTCTGAGAAGAAATACTCAAGCTATGATAATGCATACATGTATTTAATTAACAGTTAAAAATCTAAACTAAATCTATTCTTCTTGGAAACATATCTATACAAGACCACAAATACTTTAACGAGATTTTACAAATCAAGTTCCTCCAGTATTAATTAGTGTGTGTGGGGGGGGGGGGGGCGGTCGCCCCCCTTTGGCTACGACAACCTCTGGTATGTATTTCATGTCTTGCAGCTATAATGAATCTATGTGTGGTGTTGGGTATAGCCCTAGGACCCCTAGAACATGAAGTATATACCCTAACTCCTCTGCAGGCCATACAGCCCGTATGCCCGTTCACAGGTTTCGTCGCGCTTCACAAATTTGGAATCTTCGCATAATGGAATAATGGGGATCATCACGATTGTCACCGCATTCCATGTATTCTTCATATTTTATGTCCAGAAGTTCCAAATAGGGGTCCAGGAATTTGGACTTTACTCTCATAGGATGGATGCTTGCACATATTTTTTTTTCAAGTTTCTTCTCGCACGTTTTTTTTAAGGATAAAGGCTTGCTCGAATTTTTTTTTTATTTCTGCAACCACCCCCTCAAATATCCAATGGTCCGTCCCTTATAATATATTCAATTAATATAATATTTTACCCAGAGAGCCAGTAACATACCAAATGATGTTCAGAATTATCTCAAATTTCCATAATGCGAACGAATTTGTTATGCCAAATTTGTATACATTAATATCCCCGAACGTTTTATGTCGTAACAAACTCATAAACCTTACTATACAGGCTAGAACATATCGGGCAGTACGTACCTTCCAGTTCTTTCTTCCTTG